TCCTTGCGTTTTTTATTGTTGCCCGATATATGCCTTTTGGGGTTCTGTGAGATGTTGTTTTTTTTCAGAAAATGTTCCGAAAAAAAAGTGGGAGAAAAAAAACAACCAAGCTCAGAGAACCCCAAGGACTCCATGGTGTGAACAACTATCAAACAGGCAGAACTGAGCTTGGTGCAGCTTTCCCTGAGCATGGATGTCATGAACCATTTGAAATATCATTTCCTTATTCCTGGTAAGTCAGACCTTCTTCCCATAAGTCCTATATCAGGTCTGTGGAGCTGCACAAAGGCGACCTAAATGGCAGCCTGAACACTCAGGACATCAGATCCAGGAGACTGCGAAGGATGTATTTTCAAGCTCAGGCACCTTTGGGGAAATGGATTCATCTTTCAGAAAAAGGAAACATTCCTTCAAACTATCAGAGATAAGTCATCAACCAGGAACTCAGTACTCAAAATAGTGAGTTCAAAATATTCTAAAAAATGTGCAAGGAAGCCATGAAAAGCCATGGCAGTTCAAAAGTCCAGTTGAGGGATCAAGCCCTCAACTTTCAGCTGGAGGCCTCCTCCCTCCCTAAAGGCTCCTCTGTCCAGTTCACTTTCCTGCCAATAGAAAAGCAGCCTCTTAGGGAGAAAGAGCAGCTAGAGCCCTTCTCTGGACACCTGTTCTCGAGCATCCAGAGAACGTTAAAGTCATCTGTTCCTTCCTCTGCAGGTGGTAGAGTCCAGACACAAGTTGACCACCCCAAAGAGAATCACACACCCCAGTGACAGCATTGATCCTCTGTCTGCATCACTTGCTAATTTGAACCTGCAGTTGCATGCTTTCAGCCTGACCTCTAAGAATGTTCACAGGGGTGTGGAAGCAGGACCTGAAGTGGGGGGCCAGAATTAAGGAAGCACAAAATGCTTATTGGAGATGGCAGCGCAGGTGGCACAGGGTCCTGTTCTCGGTGGTGGATTTTGCCAGTGCTAGCAATAGAGGTGGTGAGTCTCCCTGCCTCGTAGCTCCCTACGGGGGACCCCCATCCCCCCCCCAGTACTCCTACAATCATGTTAACTCCTGATATGGCCGCTGGTTAGAACTGCCATGGGGACAGACCACAGCGCCCTTCCTAGACCGTGCTAGGGCAGAAATGAATGGCAGCTTCCAACAGGTTGTCTCCTGAGAAAAAGGGAAGGCAGACGATGAATGGGTTTCCCCCTGAGACATCTCCGAAAATGCCCTTCTGCGCCTGTGAGCAGCCAGAAGGGGCAGGAGGACCCTGTGGCAGCACTCAGAGAAAGAGAACCATTCAGCGTAAGGAGGGTTTTGCCCTCTTATCATGCTGGGTGGACACGTAAAAAAGCTAAGAAAAGTTGGATTCCAATATATACTTTGAGGATTGTAAAGATTAATATTCGGTTGAAGCCAGAACTTTTTCTTTTAGGATAAACAGTTAAAAAAGAGTCGTGGAAGATTATTTCAATATACGTATGATTACTGCGGCGAGATTATTAAGTGCACAAAGATGGAAAGATTCGGCATTACCCGCCATGGAGGAATGTTGGTGAAGTTGACAGATCCTGCTGAGATGGATAAACTAATATCTTTGATTAGCGAAAAGACACTATCTACATTTATTGGTGATTGGAAGCCTCTTCTGGACTTTTTGCATAGAAATGAAAAAAAAAAATGAACTTGTGATTTATGTTCTGATGACTGGACAGGATAGATCATAGAAAGAAGAGTAACATGTAACGTTAGAGAAGTTAAAACATATTTGTACGTGTGATTGCTGTGAAGAATATCAGAAGCCCCTTCTTTGTACCTTTTTTCTTTCTTTTTTTCTTTCCCTTTTCCCTTTTCTTGCACTTTTTTCTTTCTCTTTTGCCTTCTTCTTCTCTTTTCTTCTTTACTATACCTTAGTTTTTATCTTCTTTTTTAAAGGTTTTAATAAAAATCATATTTAAAAAAAGAAGGGTTTTGTCATTGACTGAAAACCAGCCAGATCATACTTACTGTTTTTTCCTGGAGCTTTAGGCATGTACCTGCCTGTACCTGCACATGACCTCCAGGAGCAGCAGGCCGGGCAGAATGGGTGCCCTGAACACCTCAGACTTTCCTAAGACCAGGGACTGCACTAGCCTAGAAATACCCGGCCAGCGTGGCCAGATGGCCCACGGGAGAGAAACGAGATTGCTTCTCCCGTCTTGAGCAGCCTCCTGGTCCTCCCCTGACATTGCTCCTCGGCCTGAGAGCTCCCCACGCATCTTTTTATTCACCACAGTTGGCAGCTCACCGGCAATATGTCAGATGTCATCCTCTAACATTATCCCTTAATGCCCCACCAGTCCCCGTGCCCCCAACGAGCTCTGCCTAGCGCAACTGGGGAAGACCGCACTCATGCTAGCGTGCAGCCACCCCTCGTACAGGATGAAGACTGGCCAGCTACGGGCTAGAGCCCGCTGAGCAGAAGACGCACCGCAGGCCTCCCCGCTCAGCCTCTGTGCATGACAGAGAACTGCTGTATATGCACATATCTCGGGTGTGTGTATGGAGCCTCTCCAGAGACAAGCCTGTTGTGCATTCGCTGTCCGCTAGCATGGAAAGTTAAATCAGGAGGGGGTGGAAAAACAGGGACACCAAACAGGTTGTAGGAAGCAGCTGCGGACTCAGGAAAATGTGAGGTACAATCGACTCCAGAAAATTAACAGGGCTTTCAGCCAGTCCTCAGTAGGAATTGGCTGAGAACAAGCACACCAGTAATAGACAGAAGAGAAGAAAGTCTAGCTGGAAAAAGTGAAACGTAGAGGAAGGAATGCAAAGTGGCGCTCCAGACGGACCGAGTTTGCTGCTCCAGACAGAAGGGAGAACCAGCTTCTGCCTCCAGGAAGGAGACCAGCATCGCCACCTCCCCTCCCACCTTGGCCGGGTCCTTACCTTGCTCCACTCCTATGGGAGAAGCCAGGCTCTCACACCCTCCTTGCACTGCCCCTGTGGCAGGTTAGCTTTCTGCAGGGAAGTCATCCTGTGGGCTGGCGGTTGGGGCTCTTGCTGTAGGCATGTCATGCACAGCCTCCTGGCGCATTCCTCTACCCCCAAGGAAAGAGGAGACCAGCCCCTGGAGAGAGCATCTCCGGCTCCAGCTGTCCAGATGACCCTGTAAATCCTTGGACAGGAATGTGGGCAGACTGTCAGCTGGACTCCAGGCCCGAGATGCGAATGGACTGACTGAGGAACTTCTCATAGCCTGCCTACTTTTCCTCCCTGTTAGCCAGGAGGGGAAGGAGGGGTGGGAGCACCAGCTGAGCAGCTCCTCCCCGTGCTGCCTAAATAAGGAGTTTTACTCCCAGCAAGCTGTCCTGGACTTTCTTCTGGAAGCCCCACTGATTGCTAAGAATGAAAACAGCTTCCCCGTTCGGAGTGAGTGTTTGCATCCGGGAAATGGGGAAGCTTCAGCAAGATGTTTGCATGGGGAAGGGAAGGGAAGGGAAGGGAAGGGAAGGGAAGGGAAGGGAAGGGAAGGGAAGGGAAGGGTGCCTAGAGCCAGGAAATTGCTTGGAGCAGTGCCAGGGCAGTTGCAAAAACCTCAGGAGGCGTCCTGCATCAGGGGCTGGAGAGGGACAGAGGCCTTTCTGTATGAAAGGTGCCACGGAGGCCATGTCTATGTTCAGACCTTGAGCACCAGGCCCAGATCGTGCAACTGCATGAGAAGCTGGAGCGACTAAAGAAGCCACAGAATTAAGGAACAAACCGAACCGCAGTTGAAGGTTTTAGTGTCAGCAGGGGAAGTCGGTGGATTTTTAACAGCACAATTGCTGTTTCCAAGAAAGAGGTTTGAACCATAGTTCTTTAGTTCCTGTGCATTTGCTGTAGCTTTTGTGGGGAAAAAAAAGTCTTTACTTGACTACCAGTACTTTGAGTGAGATGCAGAGATTGGGGTCACAGCCCAATTTCATCAACAGTACATTTGTAACATGTGTTACATCTCCCAAAAGTTCAACATGGTGCACGTGGTTCTCTTCCTCCAGCTTTTCTTCCCAATAAGCCTGTGGGGTAGGCTGGGCTGACAGGCAGTCATTGACCCAAAGTCACCGAGGCAGCTGAAGGTGGACTTGAACCAGGGTCTCTCCAGCTCCAGTCCAACATCCTAACCAGGATATCACGTGGGTCAGTTAGTCAGTTTCTCAATGTCTGTATAAGACTTGCCCTGATCAGATAATGAAGGTCCATTCTTCCCAGGCAAGATCCTTCACCTGAAGCTGAAAACGTGTTTGAAGCAGGTTGGACTCGGCCAGGTAGAGGCTGTGATGGTGAAAAAGCTGCCATCAGCTGCATCATTTCAGGAACTGAGGGGAAAGACCACCAGGAGGCCCGGCTGGGGCCAGCGTCATGTCTTCAGTGAAGGACTCAGATGGGATACAGCAGCCACGTTGGCCGGGGTTGTGCAAAGCCACCAATGGGGGGGGGGGTCCCTTGAGCATCAGCAAAGGGGAGCACTCCGTGGAGCTTTGCCCACATCTAAAGCATGGAGCAGAGATGTCTCTGCGCTTTGCTTCACGTCACCCTTTCACCGCTTCCAGAGCAGGGCGAGTGATGCAACCTTTGTCAGCTATAGGCCATTTTTTCTCCTCCTCCTCCTCCTCCTGGCACACTGCGGAGGCTGTGACATCAGAACGGGCATAACAAAAAATCTGCCTTTTGTGGGGGAGGAAGTTTGCAATGGGGATCTTAAAAATGGAGTGCACGGTGCCAATAAAAACACCAGCGCAATAACAAAATGCAATAGCCAAAGCCCCTAACAGAAGAAAACTGACTGTTGAGGATAACTCATTCAGTTCACGGTGGCCGTCCATCCATGCACGGAACAGGTATAATCCTGCTTAGTTTGTTCAAGGACAGCTAGGTGCTGTGGCGATTTTGAAAGACCTTTTGCACCAGCGCTAATCCTCCTTCCCGTGGGCAAAATAGTGTGGACCTTCCACTGGATCAAGGTTTAAAGTATGGGAGGGTAATGTTTTTGGACTGGGGCTACACTTAATTTATTTGGGCTACCAAAAGCTGCGGGGGGGCATGTTTGGCGTGTGATAACACTGCCAGATGGGCAGGGCTGAAAAATGGCATTGTTTCCCCTTAATTTTGGGGTGGCTTTAGAGAGAGGCAGAAATGGATGTTTCTTGCTTCACAGAGATTCCAAGCATTCATTCCAATTCGTATTTTTGATGACAAACACAAAATGAAGACACAGCTCACATCCCCTGAAAACCAGCAATTTTGGTGTGAGCTGGTTTGGGGGTGCCCAATGGACTTGGCGCCCAGTGCAGCTCGGAGGTTCTGGGTTGCCCAGAGTGAGGGGGCTTCCAGGGCCCCAACTCCAAAGCTTTTGCTTCCACTTCTTAGCGGGCAGGTTTCCCAGTGGAACTGGGAAATGCAGAAAAAAGCCCTCCTAGTCCTCAGGGCTGAGGAGGCTTACAAAACTGCCTGCGTTGGCTCCTCCCGGTTCCTGCCAAAGCGCCTCTGCCAGCAGCCGGATAGTTGGAAAGAACCTGGTCCTCGTTAGGAACAGGGCGCTTCTCCCACAGAGGCAGCCGAGCAGCTCCCTCTCAGCCTTCCGTCCAGATAAACTCAAGATGTGAAAATAAAATGGGAGAGGGGACCAGCATTGCACCACCGGTAAAGCCAAGACAAGAGTCTCATTTTGCAAACCGAGGAGCGTCCAACCGAAGCAGGAGAAGCGAAGTGGCTGCTTGCGCCACGAGGGCCAAAAGGGGCTCCAGCCAAACCAGAATGGATGGTTTCCAGACCAAATGACATTCCTCCGTTACAGGAATGAAAGACGTGCAGGAAATTTGTGTGGCTTGGTTCTACAATCCTAGTTATTTCTTATACTTCACGTTATTAAAATCATAAGACCTGCTCTGCAATCCTGTTGGTTATTATCGTCCTTACCTTTTATTACTCATTCTTTATTTTCACATTTGTTTTGATAATCCTCCCTCCCTCCCTCCCTCCCTAACTTGCAGTGGGGTTCCTGAGGGCTCGCCTTGTTCTGAAGCTTTCTGTGGGGATTTTACCTGCGTCCCGAGAATACGCAGTGGGAACGCCCGATGCAGCAGCAGCAGCAGCAGCAGAGCCATCCCCATGCGGGGCTGTAACCCTTTCTTATTGAGCAGATTAAAAATAAAGACCCACCAAAATGGCAGCCTCTAGGAGGCAACTGCTAACTGCTCCTCCAAGGGACTTCTAGAGAAAGGATGTTCCCCACTCTTTTCTCCAGCCCCTCTCAAGAAGTAACAGATATAATATCCACCCATTTCGCAACCAAGGTCACCCACACAGTAGCCAGGCCGCCATGGGAAGGCCATTGTGTAAGGCAAAGCGCACTTCCAGCTCAGAGGATCCCCTTGGGTGCTAAAGGGCTGGCCTTGGGACCACTCTGAGAGCTGAAAGGGCTCCTCGAACGCCTAGACGTCCAGAGCTCGGCTCACGTTTCCCTTGCATCTGGGTGGAATGGCAACCGCAGTGCTTTCCGGATGGCAATGCTCATAGCAAAGAGCAGGGCTTCATCACGACCCCTCCTTGCCCTGCCCCATGGGCCCCGCTAACTCACAGGTCCTCATCCCTCCCCTAAGTGTAGAGCCCCCCTGCTTCACGCTTCCTGGGTGTGCTTCTCTCCTCCCCTCCATTGCTGCTTGCCTCCCGCTCTTTGCCCCTCTGCTCCTGCCACCGCCTTCTCAGCTGTGCGTCCAGCCCGTGAACAGCTGAGGATGCGGCAGAGCGGTCCGGTCCTTCAAGCAGAGCAGCGCTGCAGCAGCCGGCATGGCACGGTATGGCACAGCATGACACGGCATGTGGGGCGTCAGCAGAGAAGGGGGCCCGCGGGGAGGGTTCAAAAAAGTCAAGATGGCACCTGGGACTACATGTTCTAAGCTCCACCCTGCAGCCTTCAGCTGTGCACTTGGGGCCACTATCTTGATTTTTTTGACAGCCCCCTGCAGATGCCCCGGGGAAGAAAGTGGCACGAACATCCGGTCAGCCTGGTTGCTGATTGCTTGCCTGGTATATTGTCCTAGCAAACAGCAAATGTGCACACATTTTGGTGCATACTTCTGAAATAGGTACATTTTCATTTGCAGTTTTGCCTAATATACAGGCCTTGGAAGACAATATCTGTAATATAAGGCAATGTTGCACATTATGTTCACAAACATACACATTTTGTACAGACATCTCCCTAACACAGCTTTTCATCACACTGGCAAACTGCACTGCAAAATTCAGAGAGCCACAAACTTCAAATAATTTCAAATTTCACCGAATGTTTTGGTTTAAAAAATGCAGGCTAAACTTCTTCCTCCAGGGTTGGGCCCAGATTTCAAACGATGCTCTGGAGTAAAGGGACATGTCAGAATCACACCAGGCCACAGGATGCCAGATACAGAGAGCAGGGAAATGGCATCCCCATTTATAGACACAACCTGTAGCTCAGACTCCAGCAGCACAGCTGAGTTTCCTTTCTCAAAGGAAAATTATACATGGAATGGAACAAACCGAAAATAGCAGGACTGACAATAACTCCCGGGTTATATTGACTCTCCCCTGGGAATGCTATCGGATTTGATATACTAACATAAATCAGTTTTTGGGGAAGACTGTAGGCATTAATATACATCAGGGTGAGCCAGCCCAGCAGAGTTGGCAAACTCACTTGGCGACAGGGGTTGCTTTGTGACCAAGGAACATTTCCTTCTGGTTTGGTGATTGTTCGCAGAAGTTTTGACCGAGAAAAAAAAGGAAACAAAAGTTTTAGGAGGGACAAAAGAAACTCTTCTCGTATGGGATATATTGTGGTTCCTGTGATGGGAAATGTGCCATGTCAGGATGCTTCAGTGAGATGACACATCACCTCAATATATTTATTTGCAATACCAATGACTGCCCAGCAGTTGGCAGCACTAACAACTGTTGTTGTTGTTTAGTCGTTAAGTCGTGTCCGACTCTTCGTGACCCCATGAACCATATTGCGCCAGGCCTTCCTGTCCTTCACTGCCTCCCTGAGTTTGCTCAGTTTCATGCTCATTGCTT